CCTCTCCGTCATCCCACAGCTCTCAAATAGTCAATGGTGACCGAAGGAGTTACAAACGTATCGAAAAACTCAGACGGGAAACCTTCGAAAACCTTCGAAGGGATGACCAAGCATCTAAATCTGAAAATTCAAGCGTCTTAAAAACGTTCTTAAGACGTCGACGGGGCGCACGCAGGATTTCACAACAAAAGTTTCAGCGCAATAAGTTTTCGTGAAAGCCGCGTGTGGCGTATCACAGCTGCGCGTAATTTCATGCATGTCATAAAACATCACCGCATGTCACCGATCATATTATTTTTACGTGTTTACCAGTAACTTCGAATTGTCAACATTCAGCCACGTTCATGTAAAAATGTTGATAAAAATGGAAAGGGGTCGGGGCACATGCCCCGGCGGCTACAATGCGCATACACCTTTTTATAAGACGGCGAACCTGACTGTCGCTGTCTTAAAGAGTACTCCTTTGCCATTCACTACAATGTGTGCCCGTGTTCACCGTCAGCACACGGTGCGCACCTCTGCTGACCCGCAAGACGCCCGCCCCCTCTCTGTGCGGGCCTCCACGGCCGGCAGCAAGGCGGCGTCATGCGGCCCGGGGCCGCTGAGTAAACAGAGAGCCATCCGGTCTCCGACCTTGCCGCGGTCTTGGGACCCATCCAGCGGCCGGCGCCGGCGGTAACGAACTACCACCCGCTGCCAGCCGTTTGCCCATGCGCGTGGGCTGCAGGCTGGCCGGTTATCCCGTCGCAGCGCGGGGGCCGCAGACCGGTGCGAGGTACGACCGCAAGGCACCAGCCAGTAAACGTCAGAGGAGCTAATGGGCATGCAAGCTAGCCGAAAAGCCTGGCATGGACAATGACAGGCATGCTAACGCAAGTCAGGACACGATCGTCTCGCCAGGCAAATAGTTGACGCAGCTCCCCCCCCCCCCCGTCCCTGCTCCCCTCCCACATACATGCACCACAGATTTTTAAAGATATCAGGTTAGACAGAATTGGGCTAAACAGCTTTGGAGCCGTTTCTTCACCTAACCCTGAAGGTTCCACCTACCGGCCACATCGAGTTAGCGAAGTATGACCTCGTTCTCAAAGGTAACCAAGGCGAAAATCGATTAGAAGGGGTTTCAACATTATGGTGCGACGAATTCACTACTTTTCTGTGTGGATCAGATCTTGTTTAATGATTTCTCAGTGCCCATTGAGAAAAAAAAACATAAAGACTGATGTGCATAAAGTTGACCTTTGAAAACGTCATGCGGTATCAGCGTCCAGTCAGATCAAATATTTATCTTGTGAATTCAGGGTTACGTTCGAACAAGATGCCGTAAATTCTACGTCACGTTGAGAGCATGTTTTACCGTACGGCTTGATTCAGACGTCCGCTGAGAGCCGGACGGCTAAGCTTCCTTGTGACGTCATGTAGGGCCTTTGCCGAATAAACAGTTTTTGGGGCATGCTTAGACATTTAGGCATTTGGACATACTTATCTGACTCAGCGGCGTAGGCAACTGAGGGCTTTTGGGCCGTGCCCCAACCCTCTGGAGGTGCAGGGTACCCATGGGACCAAAGGTCCCAGGTCATCTCGGCAGCTTGAAATGTTCCAAGGGGTTCTAAAACACTAATAAAAACGGCTCACCAAGACATCAAAACACGATCGATCATAAAAAGTTGTCAGAATGAAAAAGTCAGCGCTCCTACAGCGACGAAAAGAGACTCCTTTGACACTGTAACCCAGCTTGCCCTTCTCCTGGGCGAAATTTCGGCAACAAAACTATTTTCGGTAAGCAATTGTCGGGCAGATGTTAAAATACTTTAAGGTGAAGGAAACGAACACGCAATTCGTAAGGTGATGCGGAATATATAACATGCATGAGCAGAAAAGGGTACGTTCGTCGCCGGTTTCGCGCCATTTGATGGAGTATTATATGCATGGGCGTTCAGTGAACAGAACACAAACTGTCATCGAATATTAAGTGGAACGCTTGTAATCACTGGAACATGCTGTGTAGTTTCGTTTTCCATGGTGACCTCCATAGAGGGCAATCGATGCGCGTTTCGTCCGATCAATGAGATTGAATGGAGAAATTTGACGCTTTTGCGGATTGTTTAGTCTTTATTTTGTTTACAGATCTTGCTGAGTGCACATCACGCCTTGGAAGGAAAACAGAGCAGAGTTATTCGGCAATAGGGTTTATTCGCCAACAGACGTATATGATGTAGCCATCGACTGCGATGCACATGCATGACGTTTCCTACCCCCCCCCCCCCCCCCCCATAGTCAGTGCCATGCATCAATAAATGAATAATCAAACGTGATGAGTAATGAATAATGAATGATAAAATGATATTTCAATCATTATTTGTGAAACGAGATGATGGACTTGTTTTACAACAGGGCCAGTTGATTTTGATCGACAGGGACAGGCTGAAAACCTTCTGGTAGTCCAAGTCCGAAATTAAACGATTGATAAAGTCCCAGCACGTAATGTTTCCGAATGGTCATAGTAAAGTTAACGCCGTTTCAGGAAAATCATCGCGCCCAAAATATTTCAAGATCGCTTAAATGCAAGCTAACGGAATTGGGCAGGCAAGCTAACGAAACCACCTATTTCAACATACCCCAAATATTTCAAGATCTTTTAAACGAGACAGTCTTTTCCAGCCTTGTTTTGCCAAGCAGCGACAACGTCGAAAAGCATTGGCAATCCGGTGAGCTTGAGAATATTAGCTGTGAGCTGTGCAATAATCAAACGAAACAAATAATGCATATCGCTAACGCCATGATTGGTCTATATCGTCCTGCCGTAAACTACAATGGCTGGTAGGTGTAAACGTGAGGGCATGTCTGGTAAAATGATCAAATGCATGTTAGAAGGCTTTTATTGGGCACAGTAATTAGGCCTCCCAAGGTTTTTACCATAATTGTATGAGCGCACAAGCGACCTTAGCATGCCCTCGGGCCATCGGAACCCCCTGAAAGCAGAAAGTGGTGCGTTTTGTTCTTAAGAAATACCCTGCAAACAGAAAATTTATAGAAATAGCTGAAGCTTCAGTTGATTTTGATCGACAAGGACAGGCTGAAAACCTTCTGATAGTCCAAGTCCGAAATTAAACGATTGATAAAGTCCCAGCCACAAAAACACGCCATTAGCCATCATGGCAAGTCAAGGCACGAGTCAAAGTTCTTCGCCCGATAAGTCAGTTGGTTCGAGCACCTGCCTTCCGATCAACCCACCCGTGGCGGAGCGGGTTCGAGTCTCTTGAGATGCTCACTACTTCCCCCTGACTGAAATTGTTTGTGGCCGCCGGTGGCCTGCAGGCCGCACTGGAGGTCAGGTGATGTCAGGGGGGAGAACGGATCACACCGAGCATTGCTTGGTTTCAAGTTTTCGCTGCCAAAGTCTGTTTTCAACCGGAATTTTACGACCACGTAGTGGAGGCACGGCTCACTCAACAAGCACGGCTCAGTATGGGTATTGATCCCAGAAATTCATCCAGCCAAAAAGGTTGAGACCAAATCTTCAAGAGCTCGTTCGTCAACAACGGATGATTAATCGGACATCAGCATTCAGGGACTCGCAAAATTAAGCAGGCTTGCAACAGTCACAATGATAAACAGGGATTGTGCATCGTTTACACGCTACAACTCTGAATGAACAGAATCCTCAGTAATCCTGCAAGCTATTCGCATCTGGACATACCAGTGCTGCTCATTAATCTACGTCGACATTCCAGCCGGCGTGCCTTCCTCGACTACATCAAACCTTGCAATAGTATGGTTATAACGCCGCGAGCTTATTTCGTTGTTCATGTTAATATGCCTGCAGGCAGCAAAAGGAAACAACCTAAAAGCGTAGAGAAATATGCCCCGCCGTGGTAACTTGTGAGTTCAAAAGCAACGTCACATTGGTCGCATTTGTTTTCCAACGACGTGACAGACAGGGCCTGCGAGGGGAAGGTTTACATACCCTCGCCTGATATGCGGTGATTCCATCCTCGCAAATCTTCATGCATGCACATCCGTTCCAACCCTCTTCCGATCTGTCCAAGTGCGATTAGATTGTATTTTGACCTCAGTTGAGCCTACTGACAAGGAAGGCGCTACCAACGGGACGGGAGTTCATGTTCCTCACATGTGACTGCCATGATATGTGACTGGTAGATGAAGCTTATCTATAGAGATGCTATCTATCTATAAAATAAGACCTAACATTATAGTGTCCTTTTTCTTAAGCCCATGCGGCGCTAACACCCAGTGTTCCTATTGTTTCCTGGCACGTCGGGTGTGCAAATGGTAGGCAGGTCGCAGTGCACTGGAACACAGTTCGGGAAGCCATCGAAGCTGGTGACAGCTAAGCCCCGCACACACACAGCCGACTTGAAACGTCGCCAAAGCCGGCCCTCGATTGTCTGCAACAGCTTGTCACAAGCGCCTGTACCATAAAAGGATCAAAACATCGCTTTGCGACTATGGCAAGTCTCGAGGAAAACTCGATGATTTTGTATCACGGCGCTGAAACAATTCCTCTAAGTTGCTCGGGGGAAATCGCTGAAGATGTCTTCCAGCGCCTTGGAGACCAGGCTCAGTGGCCTTTCGATGGATTACTGAAGTTCCTTTCACATTCTTGCAGCGTGCAGGAGTGCCATCTGCCCGGGCTTTGCACGGTCGGCTTACGCTGTGCGTACCGTCGCTGCTCTGCACTAGATAGCGCCAGCGGGTCTTGGCGTGTTCCGTTCCCACGTCAGGTGAGCGGAATGAACGGGCGACGCCGCAGCCAGAGATCATCAGTCAATCACGAGCCCAGATTACGGCATTATGTGGACACAAGGTGGGCGACACACATCCCGGTGGAGCGCAGCTCGTCCTTGGGAAGCATCCAGTCGTGCCAAGGATGCATTACAGACTCCAGGATTATGCCGAGAAAAAGGCCTGCAGCACGTACATGACGAGGGAAGTGCTCTAGCCGACTGGTACCGTGGCCTCACGTTTCCTGTACTCACCAGTAAGCGTGTCTCGGTCTTGGTTTGTTTTTCGTTTTTTCGTAGTTCGTTTTCGTATTTGTCGTGAGTCTGTCGAACCAGGTCGGCCTTTCTGCGATCGCTCTCAACGACGGACTGTTGACGACAAAGCTGTTAGTGATGCGAGTATTGTTCAGCTCTTAATCATATGTGCATGCGGTCGCGCAGAGATCCCCACGAAGATTGACAAAACAATCATGTTTGCACCCTTCTAACTTTGTGTGAAATTACACCATAGACGAATCACACGAATCACGCGATATCGGACTCGGATGACATCTCATGGGATTATATTATTATCGTGCAGTATAACGGATAGCCTAAATCACACAACTGAGCACATCATTTAGTCGCAGTACCACGTATTCTGGCCCCACAATGAAACGTGAATGCAGCACCATACTCAAGAGGTTTGCACCCGGGAACTCAGGAGCATGTCAAGTGGTACGTCCAGGCCTGCTGTATCTGTCGATATGTAATGCGGAACTCAAGCAAACAACGCGGGCCGGTGCGATCCTTAGGTCCCAGTTACGCTAATCTCAGAGAGCGTTTTTATAACTGCGTTGTTCCGGAGGGAACGGTCTTATTTCTGGCATCAAGCACCTATTCCTGATCAATGTTAACAGAATCCAGTGTTCAAATGCGTTTTTGAATGGTGGCCATGTTTAGTTTTAATCAGATCTTGTGTATACACATTGGTCACTTGGTTATATGTACACAGTTACATATTTGAAACATCTAGATGTCGTACGGGAACGTGAGTCGCGGCTTGACAATAATCACACCATCTGCATCGTCAGTTGCAGATGAACAAACGAAATAGGCTATAAAATGGTACTTTCACATTTCAGCCGGATTCAATTACCCAAGCGGTGCACAAAACCGTGATTCCAGATCAGCAAGATCACTTCATCTTCACGCAATGCTTCACTACACCGACCTCTGTCATTGCAGGCCGCCCCTGTGTGGCTTCGGAACCTTATCCAAGAATGACCCATAATCCTGTAACTGGAATCTTTACACATCGTCCAGATTATCGAAGTGGTTGCCGCCACACTCTGCAGTGGCGTCACGCGGATTACCTCCATCGATAACGCCAGCTCACTGCGTCCGCACCGGCTTCTATTTTTTCGCATCATCGATACTAAACGCCTCGTGTTGCCCCGACCCGGCCAAGCCCTGTCTTCCCTGTGGACTGGTGACTTGAAGCTGACCCGTGCTGGACCGGGGCCGGCCTTGGGGATGGCCTGCGACCGAGACGAAAGTGGCTCGGCAGACCGGCGCGCGCCCCGGAAACGCCGGATGGTTTGGCAACGAGACCGGGCCGGACGGCCGGCGCAGCGCGCGCCGATTCCTGCAGCCGCCACCAAGGCCGGCGCTCGTGGAGCAATGGCATGAGCGAGCAGCTCAGGTAACGCCGCACGACGGGAGTGTGCTGGCCAGAACAGGCCGGCCGGCAATAGAAGGCCGGAGCGTAACAACCGGACGAGCCAACCAGTGCCGGCTGTGCCGGCCGCAGCAACGGCACGGGCACAAGGCTTCGTACAGCTGAGGGTGGTCGGCTGCAACCCCGAGGGGGAGGGGGGGGGGGGGAGGGAAGTAACCTACTGGTTGTTACCGTTCTAACGAGAATCAGGCCCCAGGCCAAGAATTAAGATGTTATGAAGGTACGTATAGTATAGAAGTGTAGTGTATAGTGTAGAAGATATATTTAGATGTTATTAAGATGCATATTTGCCTTATATTGATTTCAGACACATGTTACAGAGACGAACATAACGTGACAATAAGTCTTAGCGCTAGTGAATCAGGCAGTCGCTGTTCAGTGTAAGGATCGTCAAATAAAACCCCTCCGACATGAACCAAACCTAATTACACGACAACTTTCGGCAGTCTTTTTTGCGCATATTCATATGGTTGATCAACGCCACAGTAGCAGTATACCAAGGGCAAACAAACCACGCCAGTCAGCTTCCTTTTTGTTGAATTGCACTGTTTTTGCATTTTCTGATGCATGCACCCAGCCATTGATTAATCCCGCACCCGTCATGGTCCACGTGAGTACGTATAAAAAGGAAGTGCCTAGCCTACAATGGCACAGGGGTAGAGTAAGGACGCACACAGGACTGTATAGGAATAGCGTGGGGGAGGTAACGGATATGGGTGCGAATATATCAATCAGGAGCCCGTTCGTTGCTATGTTTCCAAGCCCGAGCGATCACAAGTGGTGAATAAAACTAATGATAGTGAAATGTTTTGTTGAAGCTCGTTTCCTCGCGTTCCTTTTCGTGCATGTAGTACTCTCATCTTCTTTCCATTTGGGAAGTTTGTTCATTGTGCTCCGGCGCAGGTACAGTGGCGTACTGGCGTACGTAGGTACAGCGACAGAAAGGCTTGCAGAACAGGATTACTTTTCACCAGCCTTGCGATTCTCACAGCGAATGACGTCGCTTTCAACCTACGGTCATTCAAAAACGATTGTCGTTTACTCTGCTCAGTTGTTATGGAAAAGGGAATTATCTCCGATAGAAACATTGGCGAATCCCAGCCAGACGGGGACCAGTGGGACACCGACCTGCAGCTGCTGCTCCAGCTGTCGCTTCTCCTCTCGCAGCTGAGTGACCTCCGAGGTCAGTCGGCCGAGGTCAGAGTGGGAGGTCAGCTTCTGAACCTCCGACAGCTGCACCCGCAGCTGGTCCTCGTGCGTTCTGTAAGTGGCCACGAGCACGACTTGGTGAAACGCGAACAATGGTGCACCAGTGAAAATCAGCACGTGAGCATGACAACTGCTTACTGAAGCGGCAACGGTCAAAAACTTACGAAGGATGCAAGCATCTGTCCAGTAGTTTTCGTCTTTCTCAAGATAAACTTTTCTGATGGAAGCTACCCTGCCAGTAGTTATTCTGATCGTTCTATAGCCATTTACATCCTTCGTGGTACCTTCTAATTGAGAATGCAAGGCCCCGTGCATAGGAATGCGTAAGTTCATAGCGAAACAGCACATATTCCCCGTGACTGCTCGCTGAAATCATTGCTATGTGTGGCGAAATGCATTCGTGTTATTTTGCAGCGTGAGCTATACGGCGATCGGCATGGGAACAATCGTCGGTAGGCGATCGGTATGGACCCGCATTACGATATACCGAGTCAAACCAAATCAAGCCGTCACTTCACAACACGGGTATGCTTCTGTATGCTACTATCGGTATGCCACTCTGACGCCACGTATCGGCTCTACCCCAAAACCGGTCTCCGGTGCTTGATCCAGGGAGACGAGGTCATAGCAAAGGTTACCAAACATCTGAACTGGGAGGGTTTCTGAACATAAATATTTGCGGCGAATGCCGGCATGTTTGGCGTGCTCGGCCCACGCCTAGACGAAGGTCGCGGCGGGGTGAATTCGACTTCACATCAAAAACTACACTGCAGTATCCACGGGGACCAGTGGGCTACCGGCATCCAGAGTCGTGCGCCCAGATCGGAACGCCCATTCGGCTTAAACGGGATTGGATTGGCTGGGGTTGGAATCTGAGCGCGAGCGTCCAAGATGAGTGACGGCGCTCACGCTTTCAGGGCGGGATGCTCAGTAATGACCACGGCACGACATGGTACTTGCGTACTTACAACTGTGCGCATGAGAGGCAGAGAAGGAAACGAATTTAAAAAGGGTGGGGTAAAATTCATATCTTCATTGAGCGAATTTTGCATTTCCAGGTGTGCATGTTTTCAGACTCAGCAATAAGAGCTGTTTGGAAACCGACTCGGCTGCGGCCCGTTGGCGGACCGTTGCGAGGCGCGTGGAGCGCGGCGCACTCCACTGCGGAGCACGGCCGCTGTCGTAACTTGACCCGACCGGCGGCCGGCCCCCGGCTGCGCCGACCACCCGGCCGCCATCACTGACGGACACCGTTTGAAACTGAAGCGCGCGGGCGGGTGCAGCCAACTGCCAGTCCCCCCTCCCCACCCCCACCCATGTTGCTCCCCTCGCTCCTGACCCAAACACCAAACATCGCGGCCAGCGGCACGCGGAGCCGGCCCCCACGAGTAGCGATTCGCCGCCTGCTGTCGTAAGGTCTGTCTGGCTCGAGCGGCGAGGGGCTGGCGGTGACCCCGCGCGGGAGGCCGGGTCTGCCGTGTTGTAACCAGGAATGCGCGGCGTTCTGCCCGATTAGCTGTTCAAAGAGCCTCCAGTGGTATACGCCTCGCCTGTTCCTGGGCGAATTGTGCGACTAGCTAAAAGTTTCAGCATATCATCACGTTACCAAGATCGGCGCCCGAACGGGTAGTTGCGCCACGATTGTGGACGGCACGAGTTCGCTGAGCTAAGGAGACTTTTAGAGGCTTCTGCTGCTATTGCTGGCTAGTATCGTCTATCGAATGCAGTTTGGAAATTGCATTGTTCGTCGCTGAGTCTGTTCCAAGCCATAAACAAATGGGATTGCCTTATTTTGAAGAGTGACAGGATAGTTCACGGGCTGCTCGGGAGCCAGCATGCGTATCGACCAGCCGTGTCGGGAGACTAAAATGACCAAATCCGTCGAGGAAGCCATCTTTTTTCGCCCACAAGACTACTGCATGCATTCAAATGAATGACATCACGTATAAGAACACATGGTTTTACGCACAAAGAACTAGAATAGACTATGTTCCTTTCCCCCGCATCTGGGCGGCGACGTCAGAAAGACACCTCATGCATAATGAACTGCTTCTTGTTCTAGTCGCCTGACGGCGGGTCATTGAAGTTTTCTGTGATCATCAGCGTTACCCCAGCCGCCTCAGTGACGGCCTACTCGTAGCTGCCTCCGCAATGTCCCAGCACTCGCGTCTCTTCCGCCCCGGCGGGAAGTGGGAGGGGAACTGGGTAAAGTATGAAGCAGAGGCTTCTGATGATATTGGTGGGCAGAGTGCCAGCTCAGTCGACAGCAGTCGCCTGTGGTTTGAGTGATTCATAGAGCATCGCTTCCGCTTCGACCCCCTCCGTGGCAGAATTATCCCTTGATTCAGGACCCCTCCTGAGTCAAGTGGCAATGAAATGGAATCGGAGTGAGCCAAGGAAGCCCTCGGGACTTGAGGGTGGACAAAAACCGTAGGTGTCCCAATGGTCATACGTGGACTCAATCATCGCACTGGGTGTTCTACATTGCCTAGCTTTTAGCACACAATCGTTGGATGTTTCGACCTTCGAGCACTTGGTCATTTGGGCGCTGTGCCCTGGTGTTCGGGTTCCATGGCCGCAACAGAGCTCCGGTATTTGCTCGGGGGTCCCGTAATCTAGTATCAGGGGGCGTATGATAACAAAAGTAACTCATAATCGCGTCGAGCATCCGTTATTCCAAACAGTTCGTGTTTGTGTTCATTCGGGAGGCGTACAGCCTAAAAGATTCGCCATGAGGAGCTACGTTGCCACAAACTACGTCCGATTTCACACCTATTACACCCCGTCTAGCATACAGATCTGCGTCAGTTCTCTCGGTGATCGCACATAGATTGGAAGGTGGTTTATGCCAGAACGTGAAACTTTAGTAGACCCGTGACGACACATGGGCCCTACGGCCTTCCGTTTGGAGATAGGCTAGCGGTGCAGCCTGTGGACCAGATACATTGCATCGATCTATGCAGGCTGCCATCACAGACACGGGATGCAAAAGTAATCCAACAAGTCGCCGGCTGCAGCGAAGCTCCATATCACAAAATACGGATTTGTTTGCTCTCATTCGTCTGTCCCCCGTCAATCATGTCTTCTTATCAGCCCCTCAGTACTACCCGCAGGCGGTGTGCCTAGAACCTAGATGGGGGGCGACGCAACCGTTTCGCACCGTTGTTACCTGTTCCAAACAACGCACCGAGGATGCCTCTGCTGTCACATCGTTGTTCCCAACCCAAACACCTCACTCAGTGCGCTCCATCCCGGAAGACTGGCACGCGACCCCAGCCCGCTGTCTCCCGATCGCCCGTTGGCTGCGAAGACACTAGAGACGGCACGTTTTTCTCATATATTCGGGGCACGCTTGGCAGATCGTGGGCATATCGCCCGCGGCGTTGGCACGTCAACACTGGCTGCGTGCACTCATGAAAAGACGCTGGCCAAATGCCAAACTACCGCCCTTGTGATGAAACGGCGCGATCTGAAGCTGACTTTGATGCGGCGGAATTACATGGTAAATAAACTTTGTGAAGTTCAACAACGTGTACGTTACTGAGGTATTGTTGGGCCTAGGAAGTTTCAATCAACAGCTTATCAACGCCATTTGGCAGCAGTGCCAAGCAGAGAATAACTGAGAGGTGCGAGGCCATGGGGCGATGCAGATGAGCACTCATCTTGGAAACGTATATCAGTCCATTATATGCATTCCGTGGGACTTACGGGCTAAGCAACGTTGATCTCATCACGTGTAAAGCATGTCGAAGCTCACGTTATAGTTAAATTCTAAGCGAGGCAGTAATTGGGCATATATGCAAGGGTTTGCAGACATTTTGCCTACCCATAATTGTTCTTTAAACAAAGACGAAGGAAGTCTTGTCACGCTTTTCTCATTACGAATCAAAATTGAATCAGAGAGAGCATCAGTACTGAGATGAATTTCCGTTAAAAATTTATTTCGCGTTGTTATAATCCCGCTAGAGTCGTGACGGTTTTTTAGTCGATGTCGTTGCTGCCGAAGGCAAAGCGTGACGGGGGCAATGATAAAGTTGTTCGGAACTGTCGTAGCTGGACGCTGCTTTGTGCAGGCAGAATGTAACACGCTTTCAAGGAGAAACAAAATAAAACACTTGTGAGGCGCAATCCTTGAAAGCTGCTGTTGATCGGTCTTCTGGCTGCGCCCAGGAATGGCATGTGAGACGAATCGCAATAGCTTAATTGTCTGGATGGAAGGTATTTCTCGTTGCCTTGCCGCAACCTCCAAGGCTAGGGAGGCTATTGCTCATTAAGATGATTACTGTGGTGTCGTTACTGAACCGAACACAACTGAGGAGTTTCACATTCAATAAGCACGTGAAAACAAGTACACAAAGGAATCCTAACACAAAAATATTTTGTCATTGTTCCATAAGTAGATGAACCAGGGAATGGTGACTGAACGCACACCTCGAGAGCCACCCGCCACGTACCGAGTGGCATGTGCCGTAAGGCAGCGTCTGTACTGCCAACATGACATTAATGACCCAGAGGCCCTACGCCGATACCCGTCCACAGATGGCTGAGGTAGAAACTTAAAGTAAGTATAAAGGTAACGACATGCGCTGATATGTATGCAGCATACATGACTGTCGCTACCGATCACTCTCGCCCTGGCGTGCATGATCTGTCTCGCTCAGACTCGGTGATGGTGGTCACCACTGCAAACCCCGACCTCAGGTGACCTCGGCTGACCTTGGCATCCAGCCCTCGACCTCACCTGATCTCGGCAGGTCTCGAGCCGGACCCGTCCGAGGCGGACACCACTCCAGATCTCGACCTCAATTGACCTCGGCAGGTCTCGAGCCGGACCCGTCCGAGGCGGACACCACTCCAGATCTCGACCTCAACTGACCCCGGCAGGTCTCGAGCCAGACCCGGCATAGGCGGACACCACTCCACACCTCGACCTCACCTGACCTCAGTGGGCCTCGAGCAGGACCCGGCATCAGTGATGCTAAGCCTCACCTGGCCTCAAGGCGGACTCGGCGCAGCTCGTCGTCATGGTCACGGCGCATGCGCCGCAGCTGCGCATCATGTGCTCGGGCTAGCTGATCCCTCTGCTCTCGCAGCGCTCTCTCGTGCTCGGCTTGGTTCCTGAACACGGGTTAGTGTCAGGTAGTGCTCGGCTTGGTTCTTGAACACGGGTTAGTGTCATGTAGTGCTCGGCTTGGTTCCTGAACACGGGTTAGTGTCAGGTAGTGCTCGGCTTGGTTCCTGAACACGGGTCAGTATCAGGTAACTGCGGTGTATCACGGGTTGGGAAACACGTTGCCAGCAGAAAATGACGTAGTTGAAAAAAAATTAGCCAACATCTAGAGTTCCAGTCACCAACGGGTTTTGTAAACAGCAGAGGCGGGCTGCCGCACAGTAACTGCTAGCTAGGTCCAGGAAGTTGGCAGTGTAGGAGGCTTCTGTCAGCGGGTAATCTACAGTTCTCGAGACACCCTGAAAAGTTTTGCGGCGAAGCACACATAAAAGGCTACGTCCTTATAGTAATATGATGTGGTTTCCGATCGTCCTGAATGTTAAGACCGCAACAAAATAGGAAGTCCTGCTGACTAAATCAAACGTTGCCGGATCGCCGTGGCGCACCTGGCGCGTACTTTATTCATGCGTCCAGCGAAAGCTAATATAAGTCACAACAATATTACAGATACCGTTAAGTACGCGATTCAAAATTGCTCCTCATTTTGTGCATGTCTGAATGCATTTGTTTTAACCTCGAACAAGCCTCATCACCAGGACGCCCCGGATCGAAGCCACCGAGCGGCGTTTTGGTGAAAGAGGAATGCAAAAACCACTCGTAAGACATTGCATACTTCTCGGGACACACGCGCTGTATTTCGTCTTTTTGTTTCACATCGGACGTCTTTTTGTCTCTTAGTTTCACCGATGCCACTCACCGATGTCATTCACAAAGCTCGGACAAATGCAATACGGGAAAACGGCGTGCGCATTGCTGTGAAGATATGATAATAATATTGTCTCGATAGCAATCTTCAGTTATGCATTCAACCTCCGCCATCATTTCATCCGGCAGTAATACCACGGTACACGTTGTGCGACTGCAAGCTGAAGCATGCGCCTCTCACCTCTCTTTCACTTTCTGGATGCGTCGCATCCATCGTTCGCGCTCCAGAGCGGAGGCCTCTGCGGAGCCCTTGTCGGGCCCGCGGGCCTTCAGAGGTCGCCGGGTCACCGGCGGCTCACACGTCGCGCTGCTCATCGTCGGTCGGAGGTCGATCGGCCGTCCGTCGTTGTCGTTGCGTCGCTGCGTCGCCGTCGGCGCAGCAGCTGGGCTGTAAGACGGGCGCTCTCGTCACGGACCTGCCGCTGGCCCGTCGCTGCTACGGCCCGGGCGCCGGCCGCCGCCGCCCGGGCCCACGGCTCGCGGCCCGACGCGTCTGGACAAACATTTGTCGCCGACGCCGACGACGGCGCGCGCCTCTCGGCTCCTAATTAACACCGCGGGCTAAACTTAGCCAGACAAAGAGCCTTAGAGTGGCGAGCACGCGCATTTCCGCCGGGCGTGGCGCGCACCCACCTGAGCCGCGCCTGTCGGCCCGCCTGCCCGCTTCACCGCCGCCGCGACGGCGCCGACGCACGACTGGCCGGCCCTGGCCCGGGTTCTGCGCGCCCTGGCACCGCCCTGCCCGCCTGCAGGGCGTTGGCGGCCGCAGGGCCGGAGCCAGGCGCGCCGGCCGCGCGGCCCGCTGCACCGGCGGCGGCGGCCGGGGCCAACGCTCCCGTCCATCACAGCCGCCGGCACGTGCTCCCGCCAATCTCCGCTGGCCTGTCGACATGTGGGCCCGGCGATGCGCCGTTTTTGCTCGCCTTCCGCCTCCGCTGGAGTACCCGAAGCCCGCGGGGAGCCGGCTGCGCGCGCTGCTGCGCCGCCGGCGGTTGGGCCGGACGCCCGCGTTGGTTTGCAAAGTGGGGGTGCGGCGCCAGCGGCAATGTTTATGAAGCACGGAGGTCTGCCAGCAGATATGACTCTGCAGCCCCACATGTGGCGCTGACTTCGAATGTCGTCACTGCTCGGGAGTGATGAACCGTGAGCGGATTTACGAGCATTCTCATGCTACTGGCGGTGCCTTACGGGCATGCTAGGGGGACAACGGTCCCACGCCCAGCGGCAGCTCGCGACAGTTAACGCTGCTGCAAGCTGCGGTGCACTGGTGTGGTGCCCGCGATGTGGTCTGCCGGCATCTGACGGTCGCACAGTGTTGCACTCATCCACTCCTCTCATCCGTGCAGGAGTGTCGCTTTCCAAAGATTGCTGTGGCACCAACAGATTTGGGATTTTTCTCGTCATTCTTTTCAGATATCGTGATAAACCCAAAGTAAAACATAGAGCTGTACGTGGCCGGAGCTTCTGAAAGGTGCATGAAGCGACGCTCCCACAAACACACAAAATTCATGGTTATCCTGACGGCGTGAAAATCCGCTGGTCGTCAGTCCCAGACTGCTTGCAGCAACAGGCTACCAAATGTATCACGTCCATCTGCGAGCACTTAGGCAGGAGCAGGGCTGACCTGCGGCTGCCTGTGCACCGCTTGCTCCTACAAAGCGGCCGGAGACAGCTCCTGATAGCGCCGTCGTCTCCTGCCCGGAGCCGAATAGCCCAGTGTGCCAGCGCCGCGGTGTGAACGCGGAGTTTGATCAGAGGGCTGGATCGGTGTCTGCGTATCTCACTGGCCGAGGGCTGATTAGTGCAGCTGATTCGACGGAGTGACGAAGGGAGGGTCAGGCATGGTAGTATCTCTCCATCCCCTCCCTTTGAGGTTTCCGATGACGCATCGAAACCGGGCTGATCCAGGAATTTCGATCGGGTGGACACCCATTCCAGAAAGCGACAACATTACTTAAGTGGGCTCCAGCACTACACCAAAAACACTCCAGCCTTGCTTGCTCCTCTTTATCAAATCGCTGACAAGACCACAATTTGCACTCCCTTGGCTTATGAAACTGCACCAGAGAAATTGCTTCGTCCGCTCTGCAAACTCAGGCTCACTTGAGTGACGTAAGGGGGCAAGTGACGATATGGGGCAAATGGGGCCCTTAAACCCATATCATCACCACAATGTGGACGAGCATGATCAGTCCTACGAGACTGTCGTGACTTTGGAAAATTCAACACTTTCAATGTTTTTAGGTTGGTGCTGAGATCGACAGTTAGATTACATGTACAGGATAGAAAATAGTCATTCATATTGAGCGTTATTCAGCTTTGACAGAATATCCCCATCGTTTATATCATACGAGTTTCTGCTCGGTTGCCTTTGATCAGTTATGGGCACTGATGTCAAGAAACGCACATTTGGACAGCTTACTCGTGCAAGTGACATTATTGTATGGTATGAATGAAACCGCTTTCAGTCCATGGCGCTGGCATTGCGGGCAAACGTTCGCCTCTATGTGCCATTTTGACTCCCCCGAGCACGTGGCACAAATATGGCGCGGCAAGATGTCTACATCCCGTTCAGCGAAATACGCGACTGATCGTGGCACGCGGGAGGTAATCGTTGTATGAGCGCGACTTGAGATGGTGTTAAAGTGCAGCACACAAAAGGGGATTTAAGCCTTCCAAACATTGCGTTTCCTTGACCATGCAAAGCGCTACTGGTTCCGTTATTTCGCGTTAGCGCCTTATCTTGCAACTCCAATATCTTGGTTGTGCATCTGGTGTCCTGACTGTCTTGAAACTTTGAATGTCCTGAAGGAAGCTGTGGAAATTTTTCTAGTATATGGGCCCCCATCGATGATATGAAATCCACCTGAGGTCACCATAGGTCATTGTACATAGTGTCCATACCTCTTCACGACATGCTAATCGCACTCGTGACGTTTTTAAGTTTAAAAGGCATCCTTTTAGTAATTCAAAGCATCTCTCATGACTTGTGTCACCATTTATAATCCAGCTGGTCATTTTCAGGTTTCAGGAGGTCTCCTCCGTTCAGTTTTTGTTGATTTAAGCCTAGTTGCTAATCTTATGCTTCAGGGGCGTCCTTTCATCCCTTAGGACCGCCCCTTGACAGCTTCGGATGTCCATTTGCTCTTTAAGGCTTCTTGGCTATCAAGATTTAATGCTATACCTCAAGACGCTGTTGCAACCCGAAACAGCGACCATCAGGAAATTTGAAGGCTCTTCTGCTCTTTGGTGTTCTTTTCACTCATTGGACACGCTTTCGTGCGTCAGAGTCGCCCCACGGGCCACTGGCGATGGCCTTCCATATTTCGGGGCGCCAAGAACTTCTAGGGCGTCCTTCCTGGTTTCAAAGCGCACTTTTAGACCGCTGGAACATCACTTATTCCTCAGGGTATTCCTCTTTAGTTTGATGGACTTGTATTCCCAATGGCGCTTTCAAAGGCTTGGCGATATATTTTCAGAGCACAGAGTCCTTTTGAATAGTTGGGGTACCCCAGAAGGCTTTGGGATTTTTCGTTTTTGTTTAGACTGTCGTAGACCTGGTACTGGGATATATTTTGGACGTCAGCTACCCTGTCGCAGACCTAATGTGTCTCCCTCCAGCTTCCAGGCGCCATTTTATTATCTAGGGTATTGAGAGAGACCCTATAATTGTATAGGGTCTCTCTCTTCCTCCCTCTCTCTCTCTCTCTCTCACCCTCTCTCTCCCTCTCTCCCTCTCTCTCTCCCCTTTCTCTCTCTCCTCCCTCTCTCTCTCTCTCTTTCTCTCTCTACCTTTCTTTCTCTGGCCGTATTGCCCATCTCTGCTCTTAAATTATTAGCATTTAGCTCATTCTCACGAGAGTCTGGCTACTCAAAACATGTTAGGTCTTGTCAAAGTATCTATGAAACGTTGGACAGTGTATGACATCCCCTGCCTAATGGCATTGACTTAAATGCCATAGCGCACAAAAATAATAAATTCACAGTCTTGCATCACTCTGAAGCATTGCCTTCAACCTTCCACAGTTGCGGTACGTGCGTGTGTGTGTGTGTGTGTGTGTGTGTGTGTGTGTGCGTGTGTGTGTGTGTGTGTGTGTGTGTGTGTGCGTGTGTGTGTGTGTGTGTGTGTGTGTGTGTGTGTGTGTGTGTGTGTGGGTGTGGGTGTGTGTGTGGGTGTGGGTGTGGTGTGGGTGTGGGTGTGGGTGTGGGTGTGGTGTGGGTGTGGGTGTGGGTGTGGGTGTGGGGGTGGGGGTGGGGGTAGGGGTGGGGTGGGGGTGGGGGTGGGGTGGGGGTGGGTGGGTGTGGGTGTGGCACGCATTGGAAGGGATCGTGAGACGTCAAAAATGACACATGTCCCCCACGGATGATGACAGACTGCTTCAAGGTGCAGTCCTGTTCTGTGCGAGCTTTTTCTCTACTAGGGCAGGGGCCGCACTGATTTTAGCAGAAGATATCCGGAGCTGACAGGTCGGTGCTCAACCGGTACACAAATTTTGAAGCCAAGCAATTAGCCAGCTGTGCGCGCCAAAACTCCCTCCATTCAGTTCATCCTTGAACTCCTGACGGCCACGATCACTGGTCACGTGATCACCAGTGCATGACGTTTCCTTGCCATTATGTCAACGAAAAGGAAAATGGACACATCGCGAGAAATACAAACGAAAATCTAGCCATTGCGCAACCATCTGCCACCATCATGTTGGTGTGTTGGCTTAGATGACGTAGATTTAGTCGATTAGTTGCTTGGATTTCCAGAGGTATGTGATCAAAGGTTTTCTGGGATCTGGGAAGGATTTCACTAACCAGACCTCGGTACATGTGTTACCAACGCAGTGAGTGCAGCCAGTTCTGTTATGTTAAAGACTCAGAGGGGGGTGTGTCCTTAACCACGATACGCAGCCCTCGAGATAAAAAAGGAGGTCCGCACACTAATGTTATCTAATAACCAAATTTCATCTTGCAAAGGACATTTTCACCACTGTTCAGTGAAAACCGTGTCATGCATTTATGCAATACTACCCAGTGTTACTTCCATTTCAGCCTTGGCAGTATGCATATTTACTTCATTCCGAAGCGGCTCGTAAGACCCTCTGGAATGGCGAGGACTGAAAGAACACCTCTTCAGCACGAAGGAGCTGCCTTACATACGCGGTCTTCATATTAAGATGTGAGGTCAAATGTGTAAAAGTAGGTCATATACCCAGAACGACAGCCAGATACCGCTTGACGTCGATGGGACATCATGGTTAACCGGGAAAGCCAAACAAGCGCGACGCGCGTCATCTTCAAGCTGTCTGTGTAGTTACTTATTGAAGTCAAAGCACTGGTTAAGTTACTTCATAAAACAGCAAAGATTTAATCAAACAGTCTTTTGCACATTTTTCAGTTCTCCAAGCTTTAAAGCACGGCTACCATGATGCCACATCTCGATCATTTCGGTCATACCGCTGCAAGTCAGCTAAGCCGTGAATCCAGCAACACCCACCAACGAGATCACGAGCCCTGCTTGCAAGGAGTGAGTGGAGACATGTCGTGACCCGACCTGTGACCAAGTGCAAGAGCGGACGAGCCGGTCTGGTGACCTCGGCGCGTCTCGGCGGCCGTCGGGCGGACCGGCCAGCCGCCGTCACCGCCGCTATAAAGTGAACGGGGACCACCGCTGACCCTGCAGTGCAAAGGTCAGTGAGCCGCAGTGGTGTGCGGCTGCTCAGCGGGACAGGTCAGCTACAGCACATCGCCATGAAGACCATACTCAGGATCTGCCTCGCAGGTGGGTCCGTGCCGACACAGGAATCCATTTCGCTGTCGGCCGACGTGACAGGCATCTGGCAGCGGGACGCGTGAAATCCCAGATAGCTTACGAAGATGTACGGCAGCGGAGAGTGCTGCCTAAAATAATTGTTGCCTTTCCTAGTGCGAACTGATAATCTTTTCAGCGTGTTTTTAAATACAGGTCTAACATAAGTAAAGACCAAGGTGTGTGCGTTTAATGCTCCTTTCAAGCAGCATGAAACACATCCATACCCGAATTTAAAGTCGGCTGGCCCGATAATCGACGTGAGCTTAGGAATGATCCGGATTTTTGAAGCGTTTCTATATACGTGGCAGTTTGCTGGTTCGCATGATAGGTGTTAATATTGCGCGAATTCATATTGTTTTTAAAAACAGTACTTCTGAAGCAGCCCGGAGAGATGTGGCACTGTTCTGCATAAATAACGCCGTTTAATTATAACATTCACAAGACGAAATATGAAATGTCCTGCTTGTGCTCAAGGCAACCTGTGGAGATGAAATAAAAGCGTCATGTGCAATATGTAATGTACATGGGACGGTCTTTCACTCGGTATCACTAAAAATTGCTTGTTTATAACAATCATAAGAAAGCGTTTTCAGGTTACGTAATAAATTGGACATTGGTGCATACATATGATGCATATAAATGATGATGCATGTAAATGATGATGATGCATATAAAAAGCACCTTTAATGAAAGCACTACAGACACATCCCCACAGTCACATCAACAGTACCTAACGCTCACCACCTACTAACTCAAGGGCTGTGCAAGAAATTCCAAATTTGAAGGGATCTTCTGTTATTGCACGTTTGAAGAATGTCGGTGATGTCCGTCAGTTGTTGCCGCGGCAATGTCCTGTTATGTTCGTGTCACATTGGCTCCAGAGGTGCCCCGTCGCGTAAGTGTATTGTCACGCGTCGTGTGAATGTCGTGGTTACGCCAATGGAGTGTAAGACGCGAAGTTTGCAGCCTTCGAGATTATATTTTAATGGATACACCACATTGGTGCATCTAAGTTTGTCAGGCTCGTAATGGTTGGTTCTCGTCTCTCGAAACGCGCATTATTGAACAATTACTAAAAGCCTGTATTCTGGAAGTCCCTTCCCGGGGGCCTGATAGACGAATGCATTACCTGCAACGTAGGTACTGTAGACGTGGTTGTGAGAATGTTTTCTTTAGTTTTCATTACAGATGCACTCATTTTTAAGTATACAAGTAACGATATAAATTGTGGTCTTCTCCATACTCAAGATGCCTTATGATAGCGATGCACACCTTTTATCTTTGAAAGCTAAAACTTGTTCTGTGTGCCATTTATACTTCTCGGACAATTAGATAAGGTGTCGAGACGTTATAATGTACATATCGACAAATATATGGTTGATTTTGCACGAACAATTTTTTCATTTTATTTTGGCGATACTGCAAAGTCAAAAGCCGGAACCTCAAACAATGCATCAAAAAGCTTGTCAATGCGGAATCAGCTTTCGCTTTTAATCAAACATGCGTTAGAAAAAATTTCCCAAATCCACCAGCAAATATATGCATATATATATATATATATATATATATATATATATATATATATGTGGGTGGTGTGGGTGTGGGTGTGGGTGTGGGTGTGTGGGTGTGGGTGTGGGTGTGGGTGTGGGTGTGGGTGTGGGTGTGGGTGTGGGGTGGTGGGTGTGTGGGTGGGTGTGGGTGTGTGGGTGTGGGTGTGTGGGTGGTGGGTGTGTGGGTGTGTGTATCGCAAGGCATGGCATACGCCAGGTCACGGATTGTTTGGCGTCGGCGTGCTCGGCTGACATTCACCGACTCGTCGTGCAGTGGCGCTGGCTGGACTGGCGGCGACCCAGGAGAACTTTCAGCTGCTCGGCAACACGGTGGTGGACGAGAACTTCTTCGTCATCGGCGAGCTGGCCCCGGGCGAGACGCTGCAGCAGTTCATCAGGTGAGCCTTCTATGTCAAGAATACATTGGCTTAAAAATGAAGGTCAAAAATTCCAGTATGTTCTTTGGGACTTCTTCGTATGTAATGGCACGACAAGCTGTGCAAAGCAGCCATTCGAAACAATTTATATCATTTCACTGTGGCACAGCACTCGTATCATAAACTGGCAAGGTTGTTCAGGTAATCATCCCCTACGTGCCTATATGTTCGCCGTGACTCTCTGTTCGCTGTTCTCCGCATATTTCATTCCGCAATGCAGTCTTCTTGTATTTCTTTTAATCTTTCTAACCCACTTAAAAGGATTCCACAAGTTTGTTTCCTGAAATAGGAAACTCGTAGTTTTCATTTATTTCATTTCTGACACATTTAACCTGATGCATTTAGTTGACTCGCATATACGTTAGAGCACTACTATAGCTACGCCAGTGCCGATAAAATCCCCTGGCTTGATAATTATTTTGCTTGACTTCTACTACATGACTGTGACTTCGTCAGTTTAAGAGTAAGTCGCGTATTCTGTGCACCCAATTGGTTTGATGTCATACCGTTTATCTCGGTAAGACACCAGTTACGGCTACAAAAGCTACGGTTTTACGGGTTAGATGATACAGATGAGTGTGCAATGAGAACATATATGAAAATGGAATGACATTTTATCAGTTTCAGCTTGTTTCGCAGGGACTGTAGCACTAGTAGACAACATCAGCTGTTCTTAACGGCCGTTTAACGCTATCCGTTATACCATTGCAACACAAGTAGGCTCAGACTGAAAAATACTGCAACCTTGTACCCTTCGTTTTGAGCAAAATCCTGCATTTGTGAGATGCGAGCACGAATAGACTTACACCATTTCTTCATTCAGTGAAATTTGCTATGATCTTTAAGTCCGGGCACAGCGATCACCTGAAGGGCAAAACACGATAGCTCATTAAGCCGAGTCGAACCGCTCTGTGAGCTTGCAACTCAACTGATTTGTTTGAACTACTTAATTCCGAAGAAAACACGTTCTTTCGGAGTTGCGCCCGATTGTACCAAACACATCACACCGTCGTTTCAGCCGACGCAAGTCGAGACAGCATGGTGAGTGCGAATGTGACAAGCAATTTGTTCAAAGAAGTGGCCTGGCCTGCCTGGCACGTCGAAATCTGAGGTGGAGGAAGCTTTTTCGAAAGTATCAGACAAAGAAGGATATAAATATAAGGGCATGTAAAGTTCCTTGTTCAGCTGCTCATTAACACGCGCCCGGGTGGCCGGCTAGATATCTTTCGCTCGGGTGCGGGTCAATTTGAGCCCCGCTGAGATCACGGGAACTAAGAAAGCTAGAGACACCAAATTTACGGGGTGCCTTGGCCTGTATGTGAACTCACTTAGGTCCAAATTTGAGCTTCCTGGGTTATGACTTTCAGGTCAAATAAGGTCAAACAAGTTAAAATTTCAGGTTGGTCTTCAAAGTGTCCCCAGAACCTAGGCGACTGTTTCTAAGCAAAAGATCACAAGCCCATTGGAGGTCAGTGACCAGGTTTGACCTTTTAAAGGTCATGGTGACCAAAATCATACAAGACTGCTCTGAGTTGTATTTGAATAAGCGACAAAGAATACGCTAGGTAGTATGTTCCTAAAACGAAATGTCGACCCGGGTCATCTTTGGTCAATGACCTCTAACAAGTCAATGGAAGATGTATGATGCGGTTCCTGCTGTCAATAAATTCGAAATGAGCACCAGAAACTATCCCATGCAGCAAGCCCTAGAGAAATAAATCAGGTTGGGTTTGAAGCTGGTCTGACCTTCATACCTGACCTTAGGTCAACGTCATTTGCTCAATCAATATTTGTGGTGCCTAAGAAAGCATATCAGAGATGCATGGTTTCGTTAAACACCCCGTTGTTGTATCAGATTGAACGATTCTATAGAAATTGCCTTGGCTGAAACCATGGCCTGATTTTGACCTGCCATAGGTCAGCGACCTTACAAGATACATCTACATTTTTATGTCGAACGATCCGCTATTCAATTGTCTGCAGCTTCGAAAAGTTAGGCGCGGCTACACCACGCCGTTCGGAAACCATTCTGGAAAAACCTTCCGTAGGGTTAATTTAACCCCCATCCGGGCGCGTGTTAATGGCGAACATCGAAATCTTTCTGAGAAAACTGCGCACGTAAGCGGCACAACAGCGTTGCGAGCTTATCTTGAGAAAAAAAACTGTTGCGGTACCCTTAAAAGATTAAGGTACGTTTTGCGGTGTGTTGTTTCACAAATTTCTCAAAGCCGCCATTTCATTTGATTCAACCAGCAGGATACCAGTTACCGGTAGAAAACAGTCACACAGCATATAAACAGTGGGGCAAAAACTTGGTCGCCATGGTGACTGATATGCGTGGAAGAGGGGCTGGAAAGGTAATAAATTCCTGAGCCCAAACATAAATACCAGAGGGTTTTGCATCGAAGCCCAAGTACCAGAACGATGGATGGTATGCCCCCTTTGCTCTGTTTATATTCGGCTCCGTTGTGATAATTACACCAAGGCTGCTTCCCACCATTCATATTTCCCGCATAATCTCGTGCTATTGACAATGAGCATAACAGGATGCTAGAGCTTCTATGACGTCATTTAATGGGAATGTGTCTACGCTCCTGGTATCAGTGATTAACTCTGTTAACGCTGAGGGCAAGCCATACAATGCAGCATGTCCGGCACGCGTGGGATACGCCCAGCGTAGCTGAACAACAGACCAGCCTGGTATCGGGTCCCGCCTCCCATATCGCATTATCGGCATTCAAACCCGCACCGCCAGTTTTCGGCAGAGAGCTGACTGCGGCTGGTTGGAGGGGGGCTTAGCACCTGTTGTTCACGGCGGTCTGCACACGGTCCGCACTCGCCCCGCTCGGCTGGCGCTACGTCTGCTGTGCTCACAAAGCCGTCAGCGCCAGTTTGGCCGCCAGCAAAAACTCGCGCCGCGTCCGTCTCCCGGCACGGCGTGTCTGTCGGCGCGGCGCGGCGGCCGGCGCGGCTCCCGGGGACCGCCGACTTTTTGCCGATCGGTGGCGGCGTGGTCGTGCCGTTCCGCGCGCGGCTGCTCGCGGAGCATACCTGCACCCCGAGCTCTGCGATGACGTCCCGATGACGAGCTCAGCGCTCATCCCGACGCTTAGCGCCGGAGCAGCGCCGGCGCCCGGCATCGGATCGGATGTTTACTTAGGCACATTTTCTCCGAAACTGGGTCAGGCTGTTACCAGGAGCCGACATCACAGAGGATGAGTAATGAATCCCGCTGAGGAACCGCTTGGATGGTGATCAAAACTGAGGAGCCGCTGGCGCGGATCAAAACTTGCCGGATCTCTCTGTCTGCACATCGTCGCATCGAATGATTCCGAAACGTACGCGCTACAGTCGCCTTTGTAGGCTGTGACTGTGTGGTCCAAAAGATCACACGGTTATGGCAGAGTTTCATGCTTAAAATGTAAGTATTTGTGGCGGATGACACCTACCAGACTGTGCCCAGCCCCAAGATAGGTGTATTCTGCCTGATATTCTGGAGTTGATTCAAAATTCGATATAAGCAAGAAAGGCATTGAACTACATTTGTTTTCCATTATCAGCTCAGAGATATAATGCTGACTACGTCGGCTGAAAACGCTCACCTGCGATCTCCAGACTTAAAAACATAGCAAGCCAACTTGTCTGGCGGAAACGTTTAAAAACAATGGAAATTACGTTGACCGGATTAGAATGCAACGCCAAGCTGGCCATCCTGCATTAATAACCAAATTGGCTTTTCTAGTCGCTTGCGTAATAGGATAAGAGCTCATCAGCTCACGCAGATGCAGAGAGGCCTCAATTTAGAGAGATTTCTAGTGTCAAGCGATGTTCACTCGTGCCGAAGCTACTTTAGCAGCATAAAGATGGCATAATCTGCTTTCTGGATGCTCGCTCCTTATAATACTGTGTGAGACTACCAGTTCTTGCAAGCAACACAAGCCTTCCACGTCCTGAGTCCTGAACATGCAGCTCCAGCCGAAGGTCATCTCACAGCTGACCTGTTAACATCGACACGTGTTGTGCATGAGTTGTGATCGAGCGAGCGTGAGTTCCGCACGCCACCGACACGTCTGCGTTGGCCGCCAGGTCGCCCATTGAGCTCATGTGTGTGTCCGTCTGCTGGCATGTCCCCAAACGCCCACGCCGCTGACATGTCACTGCCGGCAGACCTGTCCCTCTGACAGAGCGGCTGTCAGCCGACAGTCCTGCCGCCTGACCGCCGGCCGACAGCTCGAGCTGCCGACCGACCCCGCGGGGCGTGTCCGGGTGCTGCCGTCGCCTGTCCGCTGAGTGTGATTGGCTGCATGTAAATGAGCCCGGTCACGCTGTACGTGACGGCCGTGTGTAAACACGTTGAAGGCGGGCACACACACGGCGGTCAGGGTGTGGAGCGGAGCGCCGGCCAGCAGACAGGTGTCTGATCTGTGCAGGGCAGCGGGTCGGCGATCTCGGTCAACTGGCGCATCGTTCTGCGCTGGTGGGATATTACCGTCTTGAATGAATCGTAGTTATCCAGGTCTAGCATGACTTCCAAGTGGTTGTAAAATGTTATTCAAAGGTACGTTGGAACGTATGAAGCGCACTGGATCATTGAGCACTACAACATAGATATCGGAAACCAGGCTGACCTATGCAGAATCCTGTTTGATTTACTTTCCCTCTCGCCCAATCTACTCACACCAGGGGTCTCCAACAAGCCTACTCAGGTAAACCGGTCTGTTGCGGGCGTTCCCAGCCGCAGTAGACGCCAGTGCGCCCGGTCTGACCGAGCTGAGGCCTGTCGCTGGCCTGTCTGCGCTCTGGCTTATCAGCCGCGAGCATTGCTCTGCCGCCGCTGCCGACGTCCGGCCGCCCCCTCCCCTTCTCCCCGGCACGTGCGCGCGTGTACGGCCAGTGAGTCGGCCGCCTGCAGTCAATGAGCTGACCCGCCAGCCTGACGGATGAGGCCAGTCGCTTAGTGGAGGTGGGAAAGCCGTTTGGTGCAGGTGGAGGGGAGGTGATCTGGTCCACTCGTTGAAGAAGACGACCTGGCCCGTTCGGTGGGAGATCTGGTTCGCTCGTTGAAGGTGATTTAGTCCAGTATTGTTGGCCCAAATGTTGAAGGAGATGACCTAGCCCACTCGATGCAGATGATCTGGTACAATATTTGGTGGAGGGGATCTGGTTCACTCATTGGTGGAGGTGACCTTATCTACTCGCTGGGGAAGATGACCTCGTAATCTTATTGGGAGGCGTCGTTTGCTCGTTCAGAGAGTTGTCGTTGGGGAGGTGGTCTGATCCGCTCATCGGGGAGATGATCTGGTCCATTTTATGGGGAGAGGAGTGATCTGATCCAGCTCATGAGGGGGTGCTTTCGGTCCACTCCATGGCGAGGGTGATCTGGTCCACGCGCTGTTGGATGGCAAACTCAGTGATGACCCCCTCGACACGCCGGCGTGCCCGGCGGTCCCACGCGTGACCGCCGGGCACGCGTGGGACCGCCGTGGGCCTTACTGCAGGGTACAGGTAAGGGACGGGCTGCCCCATGGCTGTGTGCCTCTTCTGCCGCAGTTTGTCGCCTTTTGTCCCGTAATACGTCTGCGTATGGCGGTGAGAGCAAGATGATTGCTGCTTCTGGGGCGTTGCAACAGTGGTTATTTTTCGGGGGGTTGGGGGGGCGAGTCAGGATGTATGGCAAACTTCTATCGTAAAGGAAACCTCCATTAAATTACGATCTTGATGATCCCTGCAGCTGATAAGAAGCACGTTACTTTATTGCGCAGGTTTATAATTTCGAGCAACAACGACGATGGTGAAATAAGTTATGCTTTGGTATCTTTAAAGCAAACTGTCATCTTACTTAAGTGGAGGCGAACCAACCATTTTTAGAAACCTGTGTCAAAACACCCTCCCATTAGTCTGATTAGGACCCTTCCTCACTGCATCATGAACATATCAGTCAAAACGAAGGCTTCTTGCCTTACCATATATTTCAACAATTCAGGATGACAACAGTACAGAGTGCAAGCCTTCTCGCGGTCATGACCGGGATATCATTACGAAATATGTCACCTCATCTTGGTTTTCCACAAAAAAAGATCTGAAGTCATTGGGGCGGGTTTCCTCCATTACAAGAATGGTCTCCTATCGCAGAGTGCGTAGAACTTATCCAGCCATCCGTCTAACTACGCCGTGTACAGAGCTGAGCTGGACTGAGCGCTATGCTCGGCCAGGACTCCAGCCTCCTGGCACATTATGGCTGTTGATCACTCAACATCCTTATATTATTAATGATCGGGTCTGCTGCCGGCGCAATCACCCGATCCTTTCATGGCTGGGATAATCCCGATTATTACGCTGCCTTTTTGGTCACGGCAAGGACTCTTCAACAAATCATTGTGGCTGATTATGTACTCTAGACCTATAATAAACGTTGCGTACCCTACCAAATTGTCTGTGTGGGTGAAAATATACTTCGCTCACCCTGTAATCAGACACACACTGTCATGAGACAGGGTGGGTGGCTCCCCACCCCGTCATCAGACAGGGTGGGCACTTCCCATCCTGTCAACAGACATCGTGGGCGTATCCCCATCCTGTCAACAGACATCGTGGGCGTGTCCCCATCCTGTCAACAGACAGGGTGGGTGGTCTCCATTCTGTCATGAGACAGGGTGAGCGGCTCTCCTCCCCGTCATCAGACAGGGAGGGCGGGTCCCACCCCGTCATCAGACAGGGTGGGCGGGTCCCCATCCCGTCATCAGACAGGGTGGGCGGGTCCCCATCCCGTCATCAGACAGGGTGGGCGGCTCCCCATCCCGTCATCAGACAGGGAAGGGCGGGTCCCACCCCGTCATCAGACAAGGTGGGCACTTCCCATCTTGTCATCAGACGGGGTGGGCGGGTCCCCATCCTGTCATCAGACTACTGTGGGCGGCTCCCCATCCCGTCAACAGACGGGGCGGGCGGCTCTTGAATCATGACATCAGACGGGGCAGGCGGCCCCTCATCATGTCATCAGGCATTGTGGGCGGCTCCCCATCTGTCACTAGACAGGGTGGGAGGCTCCTCATCTGTCATCAGACAGGGGGGCGGCTCTCCGTCGAACCCACCCAGTGACTGCTTCTGCGTAAATTGCAGCATAAAAAACATCGCGTCATCTACAGCATATCACTGGCAAGCCCCCGTTTAACAACGGACTCAGTTTTGGGCGAAACAAGTAGCAGCGTTATGGACCGCTGCTGTATTTAGCTAGATAACCTTATATGTTCCGAATTCGACAACGCCAGTAATGAACACATAAATTTTAAGTTTTCCATTCCGCTTAATGGCCTGCTTATGCACCGGCTGTCGTGGCAGATGTTGTTGTTGTTGCTGCTGTTGGCAGATTGCATGGACTCGTGGGAAGTCATGACCGTATGATCTATGGTAGTAAATGGTTTGTTTCTGCATTGGATCTTTCCACATGTGATAAACCCCGTGATCGCCAGTCAGTGCGACGCTCACAAAACTAGCAGCCTAGTCTTGCGTAAGAGCGGGTGAACCGTGTACACATACACACCCGGCTACACGGTGTTCATGCAGCGTTGCATCAACACCTGGCATGCTGTCGCTAATGAAACCAGCCCCAGGAAGTGACGCACACATTTCAAGACAACTTGTGCCGTCAGCACGTAGTTGATAAGCGAAACAGGAACGCTGGGAAGCATGAGAATGCCGCTGCACGTATTTCTTTTACTGCCTGATTACAAGTGCGGCTCACGTTCTTCAAATTATCCAATCGTCTATCGTCATGTACGTACAACCTAGCAAAGGCGAATGTGAACTAGCATGATGCGAGAACTGATCGAAAATGAGAGATTATAGACTAAGCGGAGTTAAGCCAGTAAGCCAAATTCAGCCAGTATGATGTCTTCTTCTGCGGGTCTGTGCACCAACGATAACAATCTCACCACTTAATGCATCATGGCGATCGCTGAAGAACTGCTGTATTGCACCACGTGATCTTAAAATCAGTACCGCTGGGTTATTTAGCGCAATTAATGAAAATAAATAACACTCAGAAGCCGTTTAGATGTGTCAGTTATGATGCTCGTGACGCACTGTGCCATGCCCTTCTACGATCTGAAGTTGTGTGACCTTCAATTGCAATATGAATTTATCAGGATGATAACGGTACACTTTAAAAGGTCGATAAGCATCCCTTTTAGCAGCTTTGTAGACATCCTTAGGCATGAACTTAACTTCTGAATGATCCTTTTACCATTTTAAGCATATGCTTATCATTGCAGTCAAGATGTAATGGTGCCCCTAACTTGTACTTGATGCCTCTCACAGATCAGAACTTCGATGTGACCGAGATTACACAGATATCAATCAGTGCCTTATAGCATAGACCTTCCGTGCGTTTAGCAGAGAAAAAGTGCAAGATGTAGGGCTAGCGTCCAATTTCACAAACCGCATTGTCGGAAACGCGGTGGCTTTTGACGCCGCAATGCCTGTGTACTGTCCTCGATCGGACGGCTTAAATTTTCTGCCCAGTGGTGCGCCTCACCACAGCCCCGCGGCGCTGCACCACAGCCGGTGTTTGCCGCTCAGCTGACTGCATGCGCCTCACCACAGCACCGTGGTGCTGCACCACAGCCGGTGTTTGTCGCTCAGCTGACTGCAGGCTCGTTTCAGGCGGTACCGTCGTCTGAACGCGCCGGTCGGCGGCGCGCCGGGCCCGACCGTGCCTCGAGCGCCGGCGGTCGCCTCTTCGCCCGAGCCGCTCGGCCTGTCATCCGGCGCCACCAATGTACTGGGCAGGATCGACGAGAGCTTCAGGTCAGTCAGTGGGCCCGCGCCGCTCCGAGGCCAGTGGTACATATCCCAACTCTCCACGGAGTGGGTGCATACGTCATAGCGCTGTGGTCGGTGGTGCAGCCTTAATACCTGTCGTGTCAGGAGTGCACCCGCACTGTTTCTCCATTTTCGCACTTTCAGTTTGGTAGTGAATCCCTCGTCGTTCTATGATCAGTAGTGCACCCCTGAAAGCTTTCAGTTCATTGATGCACCACTCGCATTTCTCGGGCTAACAGTGCATCCATGAAGCCAATCATACACAGCTCAGGGGCTGCCGGATTAGGGTCAGTCGCGGGCCCCTCACAGGTACCAGGTCAGTGCTGCATCCCCTCCAGGCCGCGTGCCGCGGGTGCACGCCTCACTCATGGTCCCAAAGGGCGTGCTGTGGCGCTCAAACCGGAGAAGTAAGCGGTGCCTCATCACGGTTCTACAGCGGTGGATGCCCCCCCCCCCCCCCTCTAAAGTTGTTGTGGTAGTGGTCCAAGTGAGTGGAGAATGGGGCATGCTGGACGTGGTGGGGGTATGCCAGCTTATCATACACATGTGCTATAGAAACACATCCCGCCAAAATTATTGTTCCGGCTGCCTTGAAATATCAACTATTCTCAGCATGTTCCGCCCTTTCTAGCACATACACGACATTTCTTATTACTAACGGTACACACTTAGGGGTCGGCAATCTAACGATGCGCCCTTTTTTCGCCGAAATCTACCAACATTTGCGCACCACCAGATTTTCCGCTGATAAACTTTTCCCACTCTCAGTATTGTCTCAGCACATTAATCACCTCAAAAATGCGTATTCGGCACCCATTCATAAACCTACTGGGTTGCATTAAAGGCATTTTTAAGACACAATAATCGGTGCCTTTCTCAGTTTTTTAGCTTACGAATGGGTCCGCGCCATCCATTGTGCAGCACATGTGTCCGTTAGTTGTGGTCAGTTCGGTTGCAGCTTCCAGGCACAATTTCAAGTGTTCAGAAGTTACAAAACTGGCCCACGCCTTTTTAGTGCGCTGCCGCGCAAGGCGGATCTCACATACGGCGTGATCTGTCTTGCAGCTCTGCAAGCAGCGTCTTCAGTGTCCGCAGCATACATGCCACTAATCGCAGGACGTGCTGAGTTCGTGCTGCAGAACAACGCACGCTCCGTGTTGCGCGATTCGAGCGATTGTACGATTATGGAGAGAGAGAGAGGGGGAGGGAGAGGGAGGGATATACGCACACACACATATTATATATATATATATATATATATATATATATATATATATATATCTAATATATCTCTCTATCTCTCTCCTCTCTCTCTCTCTCTCTCTCTCTCTCCTCTCTTCGCTCTCTCTCTCTCTCTTCTCTCTCTCTCTCTCTCCTCTACTCTTCTCTCTCTCTCTTCTCTCTCTATCTCCTCCTACTCTCTCTCTCTCTCTCCTTCTCTCTCTCTCTTCTCTCTCTCTCTCTCTTCTCTCTCTCCTCTCTTCTCTCTCTCTCTCTCTCTCTCTCCTCTCTTCTCCCTCTCTCTCTCTCTTCTCTCTCTTCTATCTCTCTCTCGCTCTCTATCTCTCTCTCTCTCTCTCTATCTCTCTCTCTCTCTCTCTCTCTCTCTCTCTCTCTCTCTCTCTCTCTCTCTCTCTCTCTCTCTCTCTCTCTCTTCTCTCTCTCTCTCTCTATCTCTATCTCTCTCCTCTCTCTCCTCTCTTATCGCTGAAGTTTTCAACAAGTTTGCATTAAAGTGCCAAAAAAGGAGCCATCCGAAGACATCACTCTTTCGATATTGCCTTACTTTCTTTTTACCCCACGCGTAATGGGCAACGGCTGCACAATGATGTCATTGATTGAAAGTGTAAGTTATGAAGATTCATTGAATGTATGCTGGGAGTTGCCAGCTCAGGCTGGGTCCATCGCCAGTTAATTTCAAGCAATCCTGTTTGAAAATCGGTGCAGACGCTTCAAAACATCAGATGGCCATTGTCTGCCAAGCTCATGAACAGAGCATATGGCCGATACTCCTACCCATTGACGAGCCCCATTCATGTGGAATTCCCACAGGTGTCGGGCTCCATTCGCCTCTGTGTTGTTATTTTTTGCATGGGATATGCCATCACGTCTGTTATCATGTCTCTCATTCAACGCCATTAAGTGTGTCTTAATGGTACTTGGATTCAAGAGCGTACTCAGAATTTCTCCAAGGGAGGCAACAAGGCCAAGGAAATCACTGAAAACACCGGTATGCGCAGCGCAGGCGCGCACAATTTGTTGCGTAACGTATGTGGAGCGGTGTGACATGTCCTTAATGCGTTGCTTTGAAGTTTTGAAACTAGAATTTGTATTCGTCACCATTTATTTCCGCACGCAATAAGGCATGCAATACATTTCATCAGGGGTACCGCACACTCCTTTCGACACTTTGTGGACATGAATGTTTGTACTACCTTGTTATTTCATGCACTCTGTTTATTTGTGGTCATTGTGTACTGTGACAGTCCTGTTTTCTGTCGTTATTGTGTACTGTGACAGTCCTGTTCTCTGTCGTTTTAGCTGTGAGGGGCTTCCATATGGCTTCTACGCTGATCCGGAGAACGACTGCAGAATCTTCCACGTCTGCAACCCTCTGAGCAGGGGATCAACTTTGCAATACAGGTCAGTGCTTTCGAAAATGGCTGTTCTTCCGGGTTGCATGACATCACGTAATGCAGGTAAGTGCCTCTCACGAATATATGACCAAGAGACCTAGGGAATCACACAGAAATATGCTATGGAATAAACCTTGAATGGTATCAAGGTTGAAAAGAGCGTTATGCACTTCGAGCCATAAATGATCTCAATCATTTGATTTTGTGGTTCACAGCTGTTTAATTAACATAAATTTGCTGAAATAGTCAGAGAACAAGATGAATGAAAGTGACTTAACTATCTGTGGGCTTTTTGTGAACAAAATGTTGTTCTTTAAGCTCATTGTTTAGCAGTGATATCGCAAACGTTACAAACGACGGCACTCGTTTCGAATAATTGGTACATGCCGCTGAAAAACGCTAAATGCAATTCAAGATGTGGCAACGCCATTGAGTAGCACGGAAGATAGCAAAGTTTCCCTTCTGTTAGAAGCCCAAAAATCTACTCCCCATTGTTTACGGCACGTATGTACACTGTAGTAACACTTCTCGCACGCCACAGTACTGTGCTCTGGATATAATATTTTGTCACAGCTGACGGCCGGACGTTGGTTTTTGCATGTGTAGCCATTTTCGGGGCAGACACAGCATTGACAGCGCCTCCTTACCCTTTCCCACATCGTCCTCGTTTCTTTCTGTGAGAAGCCGGGTCAAGGCAACTGCATGAAGTCCCCCTGGCTCAGTCGTCCCGGGCCTGATGGATGGCTGAGAGCCTGAGGCACGCTCTGGCACGCACCACCATATCCAGCGTGACCGCCCGGCGGCCGGGGCCGCTGTTTATGGACGGAGGGAGCGAGGCTCGCCGGAGTATCGTGCTTCGTTGCTAGGATTGTACGAACCCGGCCGATCTTGGTGGCGCCACTGACGTCTGGACGCGCCCCATGGTAGCGTGGCCATTTGCTGGCCTGGGTATGTGGTGCTCATGCCTTCGTCGCCCGTTATCGGACAGGCATGGCGAGCGACTGGCAACGGTTCATCGACAAGGGACGAAATTACACAGGCACAAACACGCGCTTATGCACATTTTAAGTTTTGCCTCTACAGCGTCCCTCTCCTCTGCCCGAATGAATGTATCGTCATAGAACAAGACATGTCAATTACGTTTTTACAACTAACTTGGCACCACATAAACAAATGTGAACAGCTCCATTTGACCAGTCGCCCCAACAATATCGCCTCACTGCTATCAATGTCGGTACTAATTCATCCAGTGAACTGCTCCGATATTGATGGCATCTGTCAGTCGCGATCGACTGCGTTCCAAAGATATGTTGTGCCAAATTCTACTGTACCGGAGGTGATGCCATTTTTGGGTGGATGGTGCTACAGAACTGAGAAAAAAATCAGGAGATGACACCACTGTAGGTTAGTGCAAAGTCAGTGCTTATTGTCACACGATCCGACGTAGTTTGGAGTCATCTATAACCCGTGACGCTACAAAAAATGTATAATTCACTTTTCTCAGGATCCATATGACCGAATTCCTCAGCACACATGATGCATGGCTGCACATCCCAACGCAAACATGTCGACTTTTCTTCATATCGCACACCACTGCCCCAGGCACTTCAACAATTTGAGTCCTTTCGTCGGTTGTTGTCCGCAGCCGATGCCGCGGACTGCGGTAGATGTTCACCGCAGCCGCGACCGGCCTCTAGGATGTTGAGCGTATGCCGCGCTTTAGAGCTCCTTGAAATTTCTTTGCTAAACGCTGTGTGGCAAAACAATGCACATCGGAGCAGCTCTCTTTGCGGCGCCATGCCTCTCGACCGGTGATCCTATTCATCCCTGCTAATATCGCGCGACCTGACCTACCGCAACCAGCGTTAGTCTGACGAGACCTGACCTGACGCCACCCTCCGGCAGTTTTTTCTGCAATGAAGGCCTGGAGTTTGACCAGCAGCTGCTGACCTGTGTGAGGTCGTTTGGCCGGATGAGCTGCGCCACTGCCCGCCAACTGTACGAGTCCAGCAACTCGCAGTTCTTCAAGAACGTGAACTTCAACGAGGGCGTGCCGCTGTTGTCGACGCCGGGCGTGAACATCCCGCCTCTCGACGACGGCGTCATCGAGATCGGCGTCATCGGCGGCGTGCCACTCGATTTGCTCCAGAGGGGCGGCAGCAACGGCGGCCAGAGCAGCTCTGCGCCCGATGAGGCGGCTGGTGCCCCGCTGGAGCAGGGTGGCGTGCAGGTCCCCGGCGTAACGAGCAGTAACGGCAACGGCTTCTCCGAAGGCATAGGCCAGCTGGACCTGCGACTGAGCCTGCCGCCGCTGTAGGAGTCCGACGAGCGGCCCGTCTCATTCGCCGGTCTGAGCTAGGGGTGGGGGTCTCCACACGACGCGCGAGCAGTACTCCTGCCGGCTCATAATGGAACGGCATCCCAGGGCGACGCCCCTCAGTGGCCGAGAGCGGCGGCGCGTGCTGGGGAATGCTGGAGAGACCTTAAATCAAAAGCAGACAGTTGTGCGCATGGTCCAGCGGCATTCGCGTAGGAAGCGCTAGACCACTGCTCTGGACCTTGTCCAGTCACTGTTGCCAAATATGTGCTACAGCACTTCGCGCGTAGATGGGCTTCCTTGAGTCGGCAAGAATCGCTGCTAGCGTGAATGGTAAAGAAGGCTCAGCAACATAGAGTTACCATAATTTTCGTCAGGGACAAGAATTTAAAGTGTTTTGTGAAAAAAGAACACCAGCAGTGTGTTTCTTATATATGTCAGTTCAATAGTCTGATGGGTGTGTGTGTTTTGGTTTGTGTGCGTGTGGCCAGATCCACAGTTAGGAAGTGAATAAATCCTTAGTGAATTTGTTAATCACTAGACTCCCTCGACATGATTCGTAGGCAACTCTGTCTGAATCAAGTGCTTTGTTGTGGTCATCACGTTGTCCGTGTAAGTTTTGCCTCACTCTGCTTTTGCCTTCCGAGGCGAACTGCCATGTTATAGTTACCTGCATGTTCGTGCGTGCTATTGTTAGTGTACAAATGTCTCTCGTCAAGCATTCTCTCGTTTTATATACCGTCATAAGTCTCGCATGCCACCAGAATACATGTGTAAATTGTTTGTAGCTGGCCATAACCCATCACCTGAGCGCTATCAGTGAGCGTCACAACGGCATGGGTCTGGCACCAATGAGCATGTACAACACGGCATGCTAAGATCTGCCTCTCTGTGGATGTCGTGCCGTACACTCTTGCACTGCAGGTCTCAAACTCGAAGAACTACAACAGATACACCGCAAAATTTACTTATATTCGGCAGATATGCCATCCTCATGTGAGCTTTGCAAAAGCAGGGTGTATTCGCCCGGTCCGTGGAAGTTTTTACCATCAGCGCGCAGCATTCGGCAAGGACATCGTCAACCCGGTTGGGGTTCATTTTCGGATCCATCGCTGATTTGATGTGCCTTCTTCCTGACATGTCAGTATGGAGAAAATATTGTAGTAGTGTCGTGGGCACGCAAAAAGACAAGCTAAGGAAATGATTTGCTTCATGATCTGAACATTCCATAAACAAAAACGGCAGCACCTAGGCCTTATTAGGGTTGCCAGGAACACTTGCTCGATATGGTTGTATGTTCATCTGTCATGATTCATGTTGTCCTTGTATTACCATCAGTCCGTTCTATTCCTGTCATTGAATGTCTTGTTTTTGGCGATGTGCGAAAGTGATGGCGAGGTTAAATATTTGAGTGTTGGTCATGGCTAATGGTGGTTCAACCTGTTATAATGCGTCGGTACCAAACGCTTTATTTAGCACGAAGCGTCCCCAGAAACGTCCCACGCTCCTGATCCTGCTTGAGCTCTGAATTACATTTCATGATTCACCGTAAAGTACAAAGTTCAAAACTCAACTGAAGAGGGCATGCCTGCCAAAATATCGTGAGCTTTTTCGAGATTGAGACTGCCGTCAAGAGTGTACGGTACTATATTGATAAACATGCGCAATCTCAGCAGGGTTCTATTATCGAAAAATATCAGTAGATGCTGCTGATCAGAGGGCGAATAACTAAAACTAAAGCAAGCTCTAGCTAGCCGAGACTCAAAGCCCAAGACGCATAGCAGAATGATGCTTTCAAGGGATCGAAGTCGTTTCTTCGAGATCCGCCCCAAGCTGTTTCTCAATTTGTCTTGGCGTCTTCGGGTGACGAGATTGCAACAAAAGTTGCAAAGTTTTTGAAAAAAACAAATGCCTTCAGCTCCAGCTCCAGCTCCCCCCCTCTCTCTCTCTCTCTCTCTCTCTCTCTCTCTCTCATCTCTCTCCTCTCTCTCATCTCTCTCTCTCTCTCTCCTCTCTCTCTCTCTCTCTCTCTCTCCTTCTCTCTCTCTCTCTCTCTCTCTCTCTCTCTCCTCTCTCTCTCTCTCTCTCTCTCTCTCTCTCTCTATCTCTCTCTCTCTCTCTCTTCTCTCTCTCTCTCTCTCTCTCTCTCTCTCTCTCTCCTCTCTCTCTCTCTCTATCTCTCTCTCTCTCTTCTCTCTTCTCTCTCTCTCTCTCTCTCTCTCTCTCTCTCTCTCTCTCTCCTCTCTCTCTCTCTCTCTCTCTCTCTCTCTCTCTCTCTCTCTCTCTCCTCTCTCTCTCTCTCTCTCTCTCTCTCTCCTCTCTCTCTCTCTCCTCTCTCTCTCTCTCTCTCTCTCTCTCTCTCTCTCTCTCTCTCTCTCTCCTATCTCTCTCTCTCTCTCTCCTCTCTCTCTCTCTCTCTCTCTCGCTCTCTCTCTCTCTCTCTCTCTCTCTCTCTCTCTCCTCTCTCTCTCTCTCTCTCTCTCTCTCTCTCTCTCTCTCTCTCTCTCTCTCTCTCTTCTCTCTCTCTCTCTCTCTCCTCTCTCTCTCTCTCTCTCTCTCTCTCTCTCTTCTCTCTCTCTCTCTCTCTCTCTATCTCTCTCTCTCTTCTCTCTCTCTCTCTCTCTCTCTCTCTCTCTCTCTCTCTCTCTCTCTCTCTCTCTTCTCTCTCTCTCTCTCTCTCTCTCTCTCTCCTCTCTCTCTCTCTCTCTCTCTCTCTCTCTCTCTCTCCTCTCTCTCTCTCTCTCTCTCTCTCTCTCTACTCTCTTCTCTCTCTCTCTCTCTCTCTCTCTCTCTCTCTCTCTCTCTCTCTCTCTCTCTCTCTCTCTCTCTCTCTCTCTCTCTCTCTCTATTTTGTAAGCGCCGTTTCGCCATTCTATAATGCAAGGTTGGTGTGGAGTAAAGACATGCATTTTTAAGAAGCAATGTGATTTCCTGAAATTAATTTTGGCGCGTCAATAGTGAACGGTTGTACACTTACGATATGTAATACGAATCACCGCGATGTACAATCGCTTTCGATCTCTGTAACAAAAATGGTTGTAGTCGGCTCATTCACTTTCAATGTAGATACTGCCTGGTAAGTCCGAATTTCACTGCACTGCCCCGATGCTGCGGATTACAGACACGTTGTTGGAGCGGCTCATCCTGAGGTGCGATACTGAATCTATAGCACTAGCACATGCTTGCGAGACCCATAATCACTGGACGAGTTTGCGACCTTTTCCCTCTCGCTTTCATCGCAAGATGCTTGCGAAGTGAAAGTGCCGCCGCTGCGCCGTAATGCGCTCCTGACCGGCTCAGCTGCTGTGCAGCGGGCGCGCCGCCTCGGCCAGCCGCCACGTCACTGCGCCGGCGCAACTCATCCTGCTCGTCCGCGGCCTTGCACAACACCTCCGCTGGGACGGCGTCGCTCAGAGCCGGGCTCTAGAGAGCGCCTCCGACATGTGGCAACGGCTGTCCTGACTCCGCGTGGGCCGCGGCAGCTCGGACGGTAGCTGTCGGCCGCGCTGGTCAGAGCCGGGCGCCAGAGACCGCCTCCGACACGTGGCAACGGCTGTCCTGACTTCGCGTGGGCCGCGGCAGCTCGGACGGCAGCTGTCGGCCGCGCTGGTCAGCTTCTAGTGCAGCGGTGGCGAGATGCGACCGCCCAGCTCCCTGTGCGTCTGCTGGGAAGAGGCGAGGGGCGGGGGGGGGGGGTTGCGGTTGCGGGTGCATCGGTTCATGTCGACACCGCCACCGGCTTGCCATGTGAGTTTGGCGCGCGCAGATCACGTGCATGCTTTGTCACCGGTTATAGACGCAGTAGCAGACCGAGTCATGTAGATGTCCTTAACTTGTCATGGAGCTTCTGCTCTAGAAGGTGTCAAAGTAGCCTGCTTTTTGCATAAGCAAATCAAGGCCATCCATAACAGGTAAAACCTGCCCGTCTCCAGAACTGCCATTCTCATGACACTGCTGGAACGTGAAATCCAGCCACTTCATGCGTCCAGATTAGGGTGACTGAAGTCGGATAAAATTAAATCCAACACAGGGGCGATAGTTCATGTTAGTATTTGAGGATATGGGGTGGACCCGAGTGCCCAAGAAGCTGACCTCCTCAAAATGTGTAGTTCTCAACATATTTAGCCCATGTTGTCGATAGAAGGCAATTGTATTTTGCAAATACAGTATGATTTTTCAAATGAACTTTGTTTGCCAACAACATATCATCTATGGCAGTGTAGTAGTAACCAAGGAGGATAAGTTTTGTGCGCTATTTGACCCCCGCACTGATTTGCTGTTTTTCATAACGCAGACTGATGGGGTTATGTGTTAGTAACTTATGTTTTAGTTAGACAGTCATCTCAGTTTTACCGACAGTCGTAACAAAATCTTGTCCAACACAGAACGATGACATCCGTCGTCGGCTATTCAAGTGATGGTGCGGTAAAATTGGACCGGATGTAGTTGAAGTACGGTGATGTTTCTTTTCATGCAATGAATTTCCTTGGAATTATACAATGCGGTCATTTTTCCTCCCCGAGGTCTCGTAATGTGCCGGACTGATTTTGCCACCAAAAATGCTGGTCGTGTCGCTTTCTCTGATGACGTCACATTCAGTGCAACATAGCCCAGGGCCTGCGCTGCATGGGCCGACTGCACCACCCCGCCATCATGCCTGCGTGCTATGCTTTAATCAGCCCGCCACGCTCGTCACTTTTTATTGCAGACGTGAAGGCATCTGGTCGTCTTACGGTCACGCGTTGTGTCGAGACTCACGGCCAAAGCTATTATAGGGGGGTATCACTGAGCACGGGTGGTGAGGACTTAGCATGTCCTGTTGCAATGGAGCCGGCACGTATTGGACTGACTGTTGGCTAATAAAACCCTGCGCACGATCGGTGCAGCGCCCCGACGCTGCTGGGTCCAGACCGGGGGAGGGGGCGGCCCCATCCACCAGCCGGCTGAGGTGTGATTCGTCACCCCCAGGCACCTCGGCGCTGCTGGGTCCAGAACGGGGGGGGGGGCGTCCCCACCCACCAGCCGGCTAAGGTGTGATTCGCCACTCTCATGCACCCCGGCGCTGCTGGGTCCAGATCGGGGGAGGGGGCGGCCCCATCCACCAGCCGACTGAGGTGTGATTCGCCACCCCCAGGTACCCCGGCGCTGCTGGGTCCAGACCGGGGGAGCGGCGGTCCCATCCACCAGCCGGCTGAGGTGCGATTCGCCACCCTCAGGTACCCCGGCGCTGCTAGGTCCAGACCGGGGGAGGGGCGGTCCCATCCACCAGCCGGCTGAGGTGTGATTCGCCACCCTCAGGTACCCCGGCGCTGCTGGGTCCAGATCGGGGGAGGGAGCGTCCCCACCCACCAGCCGGCTGAGGTGTGATCTGCCCCCCTCAGGCAGCATTAAGCCGGAGCTGACGGAATGGTTACCTCCATGGCGGAGCGGCGTAAAGGTTGCGAACAGGTCATATCACCTTTCCAATACAATGATACTTTGTACCAAAATGCATTGCATAGCAAATGCAAATGAATGCACCGAGATGATTCAGCTCTTGATTTGGTTCATCTCTCCGTCGGCTTAGGTCTTGCTTATAACATGACTCAGAGGCGTGTGATGATTACTAGCGATATCTTAAGAAAAGCAAGCCTGACTTGCACTATGATAATTTTAAAGCTTAAGGACCTGCAGCCGAGTTTTCACGCTTTCTAGAAAATAATCTCTTTGCAATCGAGCCGACCGCAGACGCATGAAGTCTCAGTAATAAGAACGACAAATAGTTA